AGTAAAATACAGGGTGTTCCATTTAAAAAAACATAACTTTGATATGGTACGCTTTTCCTGGACACCCTGTATATCTCAAAATATTTTTAAAATGTAGCCGTAATCAACCTACACATACCCACCTAAACAGGTTTCTGTGACATTTGCCGTTTGGTCACTAGCGACCGAGGCGTTACTGGTGGCCCACCCTGTATATTTCAACACTGAATATGAATGTATTTAGTTATAATTATTACAATTATTATTTAAATTATTTTTGTTTAAACAACTTAAAAAAAAATTATTTAGAAATTAATTTTTTTGTTAAATATAGATAAAATTAAGAAAAAATAGTACTTTAAATTTATAATTTTTGAAAAAAACTAAATTGCAAATTGATAAATGTAATCTAATTGTTTAAAAATAAAAAAAAAAGAGTGTTAACTTTAAAAATTTACTGTGGCCGTCCTAATAAACCGATTTCAATTTTTCAAAAACCATTTGAACGGTTGAGCGGTCTTTTCTATGTGAAAAAATTTTCAAGTATCTAGATGCTTTATTTGAGGCTGTGCAACATTTTGAAAAATTCCAAAATAACTTTTCAAAATTTTTTTCAAAAAATTATTTTGCAAAAACTATCAAACCGATTTTAATAAAATTTGGTGTATTGTTTTATTGTATTCTAAAGTTTTTTTACCAAAATTAGAATGCTCTCGGTGCAATTGAAAAATTTGTAAAAATTATCCAAAAAATTTGATTACCTTTTTTTCATCAATTATTGCTAATTAGCAACATCGGTAACAAACTTGAACATTTTTAACTTACAGTATATTGTGCAAAATTCAATTCTAAACCTTTTTTTTCCTTTTCAATATTCTTCCAAATTGCATAGGTTCCAAGATATAAATAGAAAACTCGAATAAAATAGGTATTTTTAAAAAATTTTTAAACATGTTTGCAATTTTGAAAATGTTCCAGACCTCGCCCAGATCTAGGGATCAACACTTTTATTATGTGAGTTGTAGTGAAGGCAATCCAGAAAAAAATAGCTTGCTAATTGCTACCTCTCACATCCACCTCAAACCCTGGTCTATGGTGACTAAATTGTTTTACAACAAACAGTCACCTGGATTGATAAAATTCTGAATCATAAATATGTTCTAACTTACCTTAAACTGTCTATATCTTGTTACGGTTGGCACAGATGCAGCAAGATTGCGTAAAAATGCTTCGAATTGAAGAAAAACCTCGTTTAAAACTAGACACTTGTAGGTCACAGACTGTTTGTGCGTTTGTCTTGAGATTTACAAAGTAACACCAACCCCACCCTCGAAGGTATATTTTTCAGACTGTACAGACTGACTCAAGATTGGGGAAATGGTATTAATTTCCTGTTTAAATAAATATACGGGGAGAACTACTTAAAAGTAATGTTGAAGCCGTGATAATTTTCATATCCCTACAAGTAAATAAAATTGTTCTGTTAGAATTTGAAACTTTTAATTCTGTATCTTCAATGTCATTTATTTTCATATTCTTCCCTTCTGCGCGCCCCTGCTATTCCAAATACCTTTCCTACTTTTATATTTAAATATAAATATACTTCATCAGAAAAATTATTTAAAAACTTGTAGATGTATTCTCTGATGAAGATATTTTATTTTTTCACTTTTTATCCAATATTTTTCCTCTTAAGAAAAGCAACTAACTAACGTAGCATACTTTGAAATTACAACAGCTTTATGCAAAAATATTCTGGCTTTGAGCATAAAGTATTCAGCTCATAAGCTTCCTTTCTTGTAACAAAATAGGCTAGCATTACCTTTTTCGTGATATTTTCAAATTTTTTCTTGCTACACCACGTTGCAAATAATTTGAAGATTTTCTCATATCTCTCTTTGGACTTGAGCATGCAAAAAACGTCATAAGCACTGCGGTGATAAAGTGCATGTCTTACTGTAAAGAACACTTACTTAATACACTATTTTGGGAAAATATTGCTGAGAAAAAGTCGTTTGAAGTTGCGCAAGTGAATTATGCTGCTCCGCTTACAAAATTCCCCCACTCCACACTCCTTGACTCACTGCTCGATTCCTGTGCATCAGAATAGTTAAAATATATTTCCCTTTGCTCCAAACAATCAAAATCACTTTTGATTGTTATTTTATAGTANTATCCCTACAAGTAAATAAAATTGTTCTGTTAGAATTTGAAACTTTTAATTCTGTATCTTCAATGTCATTTATTTTCATATTCTTCCCTTCTG